TTAAACTTTATATCACCCTTTAATGGGGTGTTAGCAAGAGAATGGTTGGATAAGAATAAGGTAAGACACCAGGGGCTATTCACTAATTTTACCAAATATTGTATAGTATTAGGCTGACACATAGTCTACTTTATTACCGGTAATTGATAAGTTATTAAGCCCCCATATATGATATATATATAAAGCTTAAGCCTACTTGTAACTTGGTAGACTTGATCATGATCAGTACTAGTATTAGGCAGGTATACCCTAGTATTTACTACTCTACCGACACTACCCGACTATCCTATTAAATTTAAAAATTGGTTTTAAGTTTATAAATACCGCCAGTACCGGTATAACTATCGGTCTGATTTAAAAACATGATGTTGGTTGGCCTTGATGTTACCTAAATTTATGAGCTTGATAGTAAAGAGGTTAAACAAAGGAGGGAATCCCGCCTCTTAACAGAAATAGACAGCAGATGTTTTAAGTAAGGCAAAAGAACAAGATGGCGTAGCTGGTTTCTAGAAGATACGGTGAAATACGTCATACTGTTCATGCAGCATTCAAAACTCAATAGATGACAATTAACACCAAGAACGTTCAAATTACTAAACTAAAAATGAAAACTAAACGTATTTCATAACTAACAAACTTACCTTCTTTAGTCTTCGATTTCAATTATTATTAACAGTAGACAAATCTGGTTTTCTGATTTAGTAAATTGGGCGATTCTGCGCATTCACGGTTCTGACAAGCTTTTATACTCCTATAGGTGGCGCATTTATTTCGCCCCCTAGAAATATATAAATAGAAAATGACGTCGCATGACTTGGCTAATCAAACACGTTTGGTCTCGCGAATATTCAAGAAAGATAACATGCAATAATAACAACGTACAGGTCAATTTTTACGCTTGTCAAATAAAATCGGTAGATAAAATAACTGAATATCTATTTTGAAAAACTATACAATCGTATTCAGAAAGGGATTTTTTTTTAAATTATTTTATTGGATGTCTATTGTCCTGTTCGTGAACTTATTGAGGTTATCACATTGCTGTATCAATGCTGTGTTTGGGAATTAATAATTAAGTTATTTTTATATTTTGTTTATCATTTAATTCTTTGTTCCTAATGTTTATTGTAACCATTGCACAACTTTGTTGTTGTTTTTTTTTTTGTTGTTGTTGTTTTGTTTGTTTGTTTTTTGTTTTTGTTTTTTTGTAATCTGCAAAAATCTTGTACTGATAAAAATGAGGACTGTACAAATCTAAAATCAAAACTATTAATTAAATGTATATGGAAATGTTACTTAAATAAATTATGTAGTTTTTGGGTGCCAAAATATTCTAGTGGTCCGTTGCAACCTTTATATATAGAGCCCCACCCCTACGCTGCTTGGTGCCCAGTGTATTGGTAATGCGGTCCCTTGTTAAACTATAACAAGGAATGATCGGTATCGGAGTGGCTTAAAGTTAAAGCACAACAACACACGTAATGCTAAAAGCTGTCATCGTCTGCCTGTATTTTGTTTGACTTAATTCAAGTCGCACCGTACCTTTGATAATGACGTTTTCTTTGTTGTATCCTACTCGCAGTGGCGCTGGAAGCGGGGGTTGGCTTTATAAAATATAAAATGAGTAAAACAAAGTAGGGTTAAACCTGAAAAAATGAACACAACAAAACAACGAACGTGTCGGCATGAAGCCTTCGTCAGCGAACAAAAAAACAGAAAAAACAGAATAAAATTTAAAAATAGCACTTCGCTTAGAAGTAGTATCCGTAGGCAGCAAATGAATTGTGGGCTTTATATGGAAGGGGGGGGGGCATTATTGGTCAAGTGCGCAGTTTTTTAGAGGAAATTTAGTGGAAAGGGGGTGGCAATAATCTTAGCCCACTTTGAATGGCAAGAACCTGGTAGAGAACCTATATTCCAATAGCTACCAAGTTACAACTCTGTAAATATGCTCTTAAGCTGCCACCATTACCATATTATTTCAGCATAATGTTGGGAAGAGATGACAATCAGGTTTAGGTACAATGGAGAGTGTCAAACGGGGTATGATGCCATACTAAGTGCGTCCTTTTTCATGTTTTACTAATCTTTGTTTCATACATTTCCATATATCAGCATACGCGCACTTTTTTGCGACCCTATATTCATGGGCTTTTGAAAACATTTAAATTAAACTTTAATTTTGACATGTAGAACTTGGGTCACTTAGACTAACACACATTCGACATTGCGCATCATTCCATATTAAAAGGATTTAAATTTATATAAATATATAAGCTGTAATTTTATTCTAGTTTAATACTTTATGTTATGGTATATTAATATTTATGAAATGGAAAAAATGAATTTATACAGTATAAAGCATACACAAACCCTCAAGATTTGGAAAAGCCTATATCAGCAGTTGTACAGTACCAGAGAGATCATCGCTATTTTTAGACCAGCTGACGTGTGTAGAGGGTCATGCAACTTGGTGGACTCGTGGCCTATCAAGTAGCCTATCAAAGAACAGCGTGACACATTGCGGTGAATTATTTTTAGGTCGTTACGCGGTTTGAAAGATCCGATTCCTCCCCAAACCAATATAGTCCATACTACTAGATTGGAATAGGTTCAGAAGATGTACTTGTTTTACAATTGGAAACTTCGTCAATCTTAACTCATGGATTTGCTTTCTTACTGTCCATAAAATGATTTAAATCGAACATAATTTATTATATAACGTAATTTATTTATTATTATGATTGTCTGTACACTGTACTGTGTCACTGCACCATATGACATATGATTCTCGGTTACGTTAATAATCCACGGGTTCCCGGCCCATAAACCCCTAATGGGGTCGCGAAGGATTTTCTCTGAAAATTTTGATTTTAATTTCTTTCTCATTTTTAATCGGCGTTTTAAACTTTGACCGAATACTCCCATTTGGCATCTAAACATCCTTGTCAACGAATATTTTCTTTATTTGGGGAGAAAAGGAAAAAAATAAAGATAAAACTTTAAATCGTACCAAAGAAACGGAGTCAGGGGTTAGAATCAAATAGGGCTGTCATTTAATGGCGGAAATCTATTAATAGAACTGATGTCACCATTACTGATCATCCGGGTACTCAGCGCGGACAAAATGTCAACACTGTTCAGTATTACTATGTTAGCGAAGTGTCCCTGAAACTTGTTTACAACTCTATTTTACGAAATATTTTACACATTTTTTTTTTTACTTCTGTTTTCTCAAATGCGACTTCATTGCGTGATCGTCATATGTAACAGTAACTCTAGATACAAGGATCGCCCGAACGATATGCTGAAACAAGCTGCCATGTTTTAAGCAAGAAAATCTAACTGCATTTCAATCATTGCAACATGTCGTAATTATAATCATATTGATTATATTAGGGTATATGGAAAATCTGTTTTCGCTGTGCTATCCCATCTCCTTACTTATTAAAATATACATTGTTTATAAATGTATCGGGGTGGCGGGTCTTATAGCTTTTAAAAATTGTGTTGTGACTCGAAAAGGGATGGGAACCCTTGGGCCATAAACGAATATTGATTTTTAATATTATGACAAAGGTAGGCCTTCTACCACCAGAGACGTAGCATGGGGGGTGAGAGCAGTTACCATAGGGTAGCCTTACTATCGTAGGGTAGCCTTACTAACTTAGGGTAGCCTTTCTAACCTAGGGTAGCCTTACTAGCCTACGCAGGCCTCTAGTCTAGACATATTCCTTACGACACGTAGGTCATACATATTTTTTTTTAAAATATTGATCCATTTTATATTTCAAAAGTTAATAACAAGATCCGTTCGCTTTATTTCTATATGTGAATGTAAGCCTGTATTCAACTATCCTTTTGAGGCTTCGCAATACT